AGAATATAAACTATTTACTGAAGATCAATAGCAAAATTATTTTTAGACATTCTACAAAGGTTAATATCATCTAATAAAGAAAATGGACAGGCATTTTTTTTCTTTATACTGTGCCAGCACTTTTGTATGGGAAATGTAAGGTTGGCCTAGTCAGGAAAGGGAAAATACTCTGACTCCCTTAAATGCAACAAGGTCTCCTTCCAGCACCAACTTCAATGTGTAATTAATTTCTTTCATTAAATGTGTCTGGAGTCTACAAATACATGAGCATGAATTTTTAGAGACGGACCTTTCTCTCCCAACAGGGATGGGATGTGTTTTGCACTTGCATGAGTTAACTTTGTTATGTTCCTAACTCCAGATAATACTGCAAACTGGATTGTAAAATCTCATCAGAAAATCTCTCCTGTGATGGGCTCTGAGATAAACAACTGCTTATATGAACTGAAAAATTTCAAAGCTTTTAAGAATTAAAAATACTAATACTGCATTGTGAATAATTCAATTTTCTTAAAACACAAATTGCATAATTTAAATAATCTTTGGAGTCCAGCATAATGGCACATGTCTATAATCCCAGAACCTGGGGAATCTGAAGCAGGGTAACTGCTAATGAGAATTCAGCTTGGGTAATTTAGAGTTAGGGAGATCCTGCTTTTTTTTTTTTTTTGGTCTTTTTTCTTTTTATCAGTACCGGGGATCGAACTCACGACTGCCTGCTTTCAAGGCAGGCGCTTATGCCGCTGAGCTAAATCCCCAGCCCCGAGATCCTGCTTTAAAAATGAAATAAAATTCTTCTCTAGCTTTACTGATCAAATTAGTCATTATTACATGTGCAAGATATTTAGTTATAAACAACCTACATTTGCTTTTAATTCAAATTGATTTATTCTAATGAACTTCATTTTAGCAGCAATTATATTTTTTGATCAAATAACATAAAAATTTTCTAATACCTAAGGGTAACTTCAAATCTTATACTTTTCCTAAATTTAAATAATTACTGAGTAGTCCTTAATTTATACTTAATCTAGCATCCACATCAATCTCATAAAACACTAAAATTATGTACTTTTGCCTATCTTTTTATGGCTTTAGAGAAACTTACATATTTGAACCTGTTAAATGTATTCATTTTCCAACATTAAAAAGATACATTGTAAAGAAGAATATGGCTATAAAAGTATAAAATGTATATTCATAAACTGCTAATCTACTGCAAAATGCTGAAGTAAAACACTTTATAATTATTCACCTACTAGTTTCCTTTATAAAATAAAAATTACTGTAATTAAAAATTATATCAGTGACTCTCCTAAGAAAAAGAGCTTTGCATCTAAGACATGCAAAATATACAAGACATCTTTTTGTTAAAATAAGATACTGTCCTACAACAAGGTGATTGTTACAAATCCTGTGAGATAAATGCTAAATAAAATTCAGAGGTTATAAATGATTCCCCAAATTTTTTGTCTTTATCAATGATAGCTAATACTTAAATGTTTATATATGATTTTTTGAAAAATAGTATCAAGTGTTATTCTGATGTAAAATTTACGTTTGATTTTTCTCTCCGTTGGAATAAAGTTTCACTGAATTTTTGTCTGCTGTTAAGCTACTGGAAAACAAGTGTTATGGCTTGACTTTAGATGTCTCTTGAAAGCCTTGTGCAGTCATAGATGGTGGCACTTTTTTACAGGTGACCGGACCCAGTGTGTGTGATTAATGTTGCAACGCTAAGATTACAATTGCTAGGATTCAGGGTCCGCAATCACTAAATTAGTCCACTGATTGATTTGGCACCTGCTCTAATCCTGATAGTCTGGAGTGAATGTAAAGGGGAAGGAAAGAATTACTAAGGTCCTTTACTTGCTTTTCTACCTTCTTCCCATCATGAACTATTTCTCCTCTGTGATGCTTGTGTGCAATGCTACCCTCACTTGGCCTGAAACCTCTACAAACCAGGAGATAAATAAACCTTTTCTCCCTTAACTTGAGTGTCAAGGATTGTCTCAGTAATAAGAAAAGTAACTCAAAGAAAGCAAATTTAAAGAACTTTTATACTTAAAAGGAAAACATTTAAAAATAGTGTATTTTTCTGTGCTTTATTTTGATTTCTTTATATCTTTAATTCAAAAATAATGCCCATCTTCTGTTTGGTGTCCTATGAAACAATCTCATTCAAAAACCCAACTCTGGTTGTTGATAAGAGAGAGGGAATTAAATACAATTAATAAAGAAAATGAACAATAAATAGTAACAAGGATACTAGGAAAGTGTGATGTAGAAATACAAATGGTATATAGAAATACAAAACTACTATCAAATAGAGTAAACTCTGTGCTAGAAAGCTTTAGTAGGGTAGAGTGTAAAAAATGAACCAAATAAAATTATACACAGGACGTTTTTTAACAGCACAGAGATAAATGCTTATGTTGTGAACAATAAACACTTGAAGCAAAAACTGCCAAAAATGCTAGAAAGTTCTGAATAACTATAATTGCAATAAAAGCATCAATTTGATTCTTTCATTACTAAAAAGATTGATAGACATACTTTATGAAGAGCTTTTCTTCACAACACAAATATTTTCACCTAATATTCTACTCAAGTTCACTGCAAAGAAGTACATATTAAATGTAAAGGGAAATATAGCAACACAGAACTATGGGAAAGTTAAAAAAAGTTGCATTACTTTTAGCTGGTTGAGGATCAATCAAAAGTTAGTACTATACCTTGCAGTCAGAAATTAGAAGTACACTAAAGCTTTTACAAAGCAATCTGGCAACACTTACCATCATTTCCAATTTAAAATGCATGTACATTTGGTCCCATTATTTCTAATACTTGGAATTATTTTTCATAGAAACAAACATTACAGATTGAAGCTTTCATTTAAATGGATACAATAATGGGTACAGTATATACTCTTATTCTTAAGGCACTGATTGATTTACTTACAGTATAGCTACACAATGTAGTACACTGATAGGTTCTTAGCATCATTCATTCATTAATTCTATTCATTTCTGTTACATGAATACTATGTGCTAAAATTTTGACTCAGGCTCTAGCAATACAATGATGAGTAACACTCACTAACTTCATTGAGTTTAAAGTAATCTACTGGGAGAGAATATAAAATACATAAGTAGATCATCACTGTGCTAACATTTAAGGAAAGATAAAAACAAGGAGATGGGTAGTATGACGTTGGAGAGTGCATTATACTAAATATGATGGTGTTAGGGGAAAGATTCACCCTGAGAGTGTTCAGACCTGAGGAAGTGAGCCAACCACTTCTTGTCTATGAAATTGTTCCATGCGTTCTAGAGGATGATCTCCTCTGCAAATTTATGTAGCCTACTAGCTACTTGAAAGAGTACAGATAACCCTGAAACCCACATTTTCCTGTGCAACGTAATGATAAAGAACTCCAAAGGAGCTTCTATAATCTTCCATTGTTTAAGGGAATTTCATGGTATTTCTTGAAACAAAAGCCTAGAAAATGAGATGCCATGAAAATATACAATTAACTAAGTAGCTTGGTAAAGGCTTAACAAGTTAATTTTTGATCTACTTCTAAATTTACTTGGGAAATTAGTTTGAAATCAAAATGAAAGAACAAACTTGAGAGCATGGTATTTTAAGTATGATTAATGGAGACACAAGGGTGAATATGAAATTTGTGAATATTTTAAAAATCAATATTCTATAAGGAATTTTTCATTCTCTATGAATTTTCTTAAGGACCAGAAGAAAATTCACTTAATTATTATCATCACTCTGAAATAAGTCCAGGCTGAAAGGCATAAACAAGCACAGCTGCCAATAATTTGATCAATAAATTTAAAGACAAACATGAGAAACATTTTTAAAGCATTAGGAAAGTACTAAAATTTCACTCTAAAATTCATGAGAAGAAAAAGAAAAATATATGTATATATTCATTACACATTCAAAGAATATCTTTATATCTAAAGCTAATAGTTTAATTGTATTAATATATTCAACTATTTTATGATATATGTAAAATTCATAATATTAAAAAAGATTATGGCAAATTTAATTGAGAAAAAAACCCCAGAAAACATTTTAGGAAATACAAAGTGTAGATGATTGTGTTTAGCATTCAATTTTATTAAATATTGCATTTTGAGATTTGCAAATGACACTGGATGATCATGACACTCTGCCAAACAATGAAGGCCACACCACTGGGGTTCCTCTGTCAGGCAAAAGATGTGGCATATACTTTAATGCTGCCAATTTACCTTCTTTTTCTTTTTTAGAGGAAGTATTTTGATCTTTAAAAGATTAAACCATGGATCAACATTATTTTTCTATCAATTAAGTATAAAACAGATTTTGTGTGAATGAATATAAAATGTAAAGTTTATAAAATTACTCATAACAAGTAACCTATTATAGTTTGCAGTGTATATTTCTAAGGAAATAAAAAATGAGACCATCGTACAGATTATGAAAGAATATATTAAGAATTTATAGCTCTTTTATTTATATTCAGTGCATCACTTATTTCATTTGCAGGCATTTTTATTGTTCACACATCCATTATATACAGAGCCAAATAAAGATATATGAAAACTCAATCTAAAACATTTTAACAATCAGGGAAGACTAAGTGTGTTTTCTAAGAATATGAACCAAAATATTTATTTCAAAAATTTTACTATTATTCCTATCATTCTACTTTTTACTGCCTTGAAAAAATAATGAAAAATATTCATGTCTGAAATTTTAACTGGAATTTAAATGTTCTCTGAGGAAACATTTCTTTTTCCATGAATCAGTTTCCACTGATGCTTTATTTCCTTGCAAAATACTACTGCAATGCGTGGAAGAAAGCACAATGTTCTGATCTTTGTTTAACATCTAAGTAAGGAATAAACACGGAAATAGTGTTTTCTTCTGAGCAATTCCTTACATGCAAAATTTCATCTCCAAGAAAATAAATTTTATCAATTTAAACATCTTACTGCTTCTTTCAGGCCTCAGTAGCGATTTGGTCTTCTTGTTTTGGCTTCCACTTTCGTGAAGAGCTTTGAACCAGTCCCGTAATCTGTTTGCCACTTCTCTGAACTCCAGGTCACTGCATGCTAAAAGCAAAGAGAAACAACATAAATACTTCATTATAATTCACCAGGATGCCAGTTCTCTTTCTCAAACTGTTCCATCAACCTGAACAGTAACAGTGCCTAAAAGAAAAAAAAAATCAAACTAATCATTTTTTAAATAGAAAATTGAATTTATCCTTGAGACTTAATAAGATTCAATATAAAATAACACTTTACTTAATATAGGAATGTTCTTAGTAGAATTTGACTTCCACTCTGTGAAGAAAAAGAGCTTCTACTGAAGATTCTTATTGTTAACATCATACAGAGTCCTAATATTTAGGTTATGAGTATGACATTAGAATTTAGAGGGGAAAATGAAAAATTCAAACTAGGAAAATCCAAAATGAATATTGCACATTTATTATTCATTAACTCTATTAAATGCTTATAATTTAGAATTCCATATTAATGTACTCATTATAAGCTGAAATGCATGAAATATAAGCAGTTTATATTTAGTTTAACCTTATATATTTTAAAGCACCAAAATGATTAACATATCATTTGACATTAACAAATAGTGTTAAATATATTAGAAAATTTTATTGTGTTTTGGTATAAAAGTCATATATTAGAAAATGACATTTGGAATTTAAGTCTTTTGTATTGTTTCTATATAATATTATTTGCTAATAATATTATTTCAGTCTACATAGTAAACAACAGCAGAATAAAGTGCATGTGCAAGATTAATGTTAAAGTATGGCATTCAAATTTAAGACTGTTTTTTAAATATTTTGAAAATATAAAGAAATCAATTCCTTTGATCTATACCTGCAGGTCTATCTCCTCCGTCTGTTGCCATGATACAGGTTCCTCCACTGTCAAGCATCCCATATTAAAATCCATGTTGATTATTTTGTTAAAAATAATTTATAAGAATAAATAAAAAATAAATAAAAATCAGATTGCCTTCTTATTTTTCAATAGCAACTGTTTCAATCAGCTTTGTGTGACTTCAATAAAATATGCTAGAGGGCCTACTTAAAGGAGAAAAGGTTTATCACAGGATCAGTTGGTTTCATTGCTCCAGGGCTTGTGGTATGGCTGAACAGCTGGTGAGAAGAATGTGGAACAAGAAAGTATGGAGATTCTTCAAAAAAACTAAAACCAAATGTTTCATGTGGCCCAGCTATTCCCCTCCAAGGTATCTTCCCTAAAGAAGTAAAGACATCATAGTACAGTGATACATGCATACTCATGTTTATGGCAGCACAGTTCATAACTGCTGAATATTGACAACAGCCTGTATGTTCATCTATCAACAGATGAATGGATAAAGCAAATATAGTATTTATATATAATGGAGTACAACTCTGCCATAAATAAGGATAAGCTTTAGGCATTTTTAAGATGAATGTACGTACCTTGAGACTATAATTTTAAGTGAAATAAAACAGGCACACAAGTTTAAATATCACTTTCCCTGATTAGTATAGGAAATCCAAAGTATGAATAAGGCACAGAATGAGAGAGAGACAGAGATATTAAGGAGTAGAAAGAAGGTGTTCAAACTGGAAGAGGAATAAGAGATGGGGGAGGATTTAAAGGAATTTAAAGGCAAAAAAGAATTGAAAGAAAAAACTAGAAATAGAGCTTTTATTGATGTGGAGGGAAAGAAGGTTGGAGGGAAAGAAGGAGAAAGAACAAAAATGAATTTAGGAGTGCCACATATTGATACACATCTTCCGTGGTGAATGTACTCATGTACTGCAAAGATGAACTAATAATAAAATATGAAAAAAAGATATCTCACCTTGTGTGAACCTGGAAGCAGAAAGAATAAGAGCTAGAGAAGAAGAGGCCAGGAATAAGTTAAGTGTTGAAAGAACAACACCACTACTCACAGACCTAACTGGGCTCCACTTTCTACGTTTTCATCATCTTCAAAAGAGCATCAAATTAGAGAGACGTCAGTGGGTTTCTTTTGAAGTTAGGGTCCTCACGATCCAATCTTCTTGCAAAAGCCCCATCACAGAGTTAGGGACAATTCTTCAATACAAATTAATTCTGATCCAAAGTACAACAACACCATCAGTGGTAGCAGGACAATGAAAACTTCACTGCAGAATTGTAAAATTCCTGTGTCCGTGACAATCAGGTGCCAGGGAATGCTGAAGTGATTTTTAATTGTACAAAATCTAAAACTGACCATCCATACAATCTTTCTTTCCAAAGAGCTCCCAAAGGATGTGATACAGCAGAGAAAAAAAAAACATGAAAGAAAATGACTGATAAGAGAAAATGAAAATTGTAAGAGAAGAAGCGAAGGGAATTTCTATGAAGACAGTAAGTGCAATTTCAGAGTGCACGCTGTGTGCCAAATGTAAGTGAAGGGAGGAGTAGGTGTGAAGACTCCTGGCCAGAGACAAAGCAAGTAACAGAATTCATCTCTCATTTCATTAAAAAAAAGTTAACTATAGGACAAGCAAAATAATCATTTTTATTGATAAATTCAATTGCGTGAAGCTGACTGGCGATTGCTTCTTGAACTTTTAGCCAAGATCAAGCATGAAGTAAGTGGTAAGACAATAATTTCTCCAAATGTAAATATTTACACTTTAGCCTGGTATTCCCTATTTAAATCAACATCTTGGCAAGGGTCTTCTGCTCTGCATGAACAATAAATGTGATTTGCTGCTGCTCTTTTCCAGAACTCAATTGATATATTTTACTCTCATTTTTCTAACAGTTATATTACATGAATTTACTTTTCTAGAAATAATAATTTACATTCATTTAGCAAGAAATACACTTACTGAGGCTTTACATTTGATTTTAAATCAAGCTTGAAAGGTTAGGGGAAGGATTAATATGTTTTTCTAATAAAAAAGAATAAAAACGATATAGCTATAACAAAATGAAATGCCCTAATATTTACAACTAGAAGAAAACTAAATAAATCTTTGGCACTTATGACTCGAACCTTATATGTAGTCAGAAATAGTTAACACGATATCATATTATACTTTTATAATAAAATGAGTTACATTAAAATCGAATAAAAGTTGAATTTGACACTAAAATTCTTCAATTATGTGAAATTATTAACTAGAATATTTTGTTAAAGAAAGCAACTAATGAGTGAAAAACAGTATCTCTTGTAAATTAAGAATTACATGTGTATGTGTGAGTGTATATATATATATATATATATATACGTATACACATATGAACATAGGTATCCTTGTTCATCTTTATTACTCACATATTTCACTGACATATTTGTGGGGAAATGATGCTATTTTATCAAAGTAGCAATTATTTGAATTATGAGCATCAGATTTGTGACTAAATACTTAATATTTGAACAAAGAATATAAATTCTGTATACTAAAATGTGGTATAATAGAAGTTAAAACCTCAAGGTTAGATTATGAATATGATCTATAAGTGTTAATTCACATTGATTTATATATATATATATATATATATATATATATATATATATATATATAATGAGCACTGAAAAAGCCAAAAAATTCTACTATACAGAATAAAGTAGATCTCTTATCTCAAAAATGGGAGATAAGAGAAAGATCAGCTAAGTCTACCATCTGGCATAGAGGTTTGAAGACCTATGTTTCTATATGTATACACACATGAAATCTTTTAAACTTTCTGTTATAAAATGTTAAAAGATAGCAGTAGTTTTCATGAGGAAAAACATAAATAGTAACAAATTAAAAGTTACCTACACTAGGCAACAAAGAGCTTGGTTGCCCAGTAATCACTTGTTAAAAAAAAAAAAAAAAAAAAAAAAAGATTAAAGGAGGTAATGAGGCAAATGTTCAGTGTGTTAAGGAAAATAAATTTCAATATAACTTTCCACATCTATTCAACCAGCAAATGCACAGCATAAAGGCTTGTCTAGCTGTGGAAGAAATCATAGATTTCACATTTCAAGGCATCGTGAAAATCAGCTGCAGTCAAAGTTTAAAAATGACTAAGGAATAGGAAATAGGAAATTTCCAAAAAGGGAATTCAGTTAAGAAAACTTCAGTAAAGAACTCATACTGGAAGTGTAGGTCAGAAAGACCAAGTAAGATGTTTTCAAGCTCAGGGAGAAATATGTTTAATGAATAGTGAGGAGACTGTGATTTAGCAAACAGGATCTTATTGACAGCTTATAAAAGCCTGTGCATATAATAACAGCAAGAATGAAATTTAATATTGAAGATGATATAATTCAACTAAGACAGGAAAATGTATCTAATTGTAACATAAATTCTTACTTTTCTGTCAACAATATTTCCATGATCATGAAATTCTAAATTTGAATTCAAACTCTTCATTTGAAATTTGATTCACTTAGTGATTAGAGAATATAATGTAATTACTATCAATTTTGGCAGTAACTTCAGCCTCAAGAATCAGAGTTGAAAGCGAAGACATGAAAGGCAATGCAAATGACTTCATTTTACAAAAATGAGGTATGAGGTACTCCTTGTGGAATTTGAGACTGAAAGAACATTCTAGGTTACTTTGCTAATAAAATGTTGCTTGTAAATAACGGGAGTGATCAGTGAAAATTAAGAAAGGTCTTATGACAATATCGTAAAGTGAGAGGAAAGTAATGTGTATTGCCATTTATCAAGGCAGAAAAAAGATAGTATTTGAACATATTAGGCCTTTCATGAAATAGCTAATGACGTGGAGGGAAGAACCTGCAATACTTCAAAACGATCACATTTACGACCAGGGAACAAGAAGCAGTAACGGAGGGCGGTGAGGTTGAGCGTTTCACTGAATGTGGGAGATAAGGTTGAGTGTTCATTTAATTTAGAAAACCAGTTCTAGAGTATTATCCAGCCTCCACCCTTCAAATCTCTTTTATAGAAAAGACTGGTTTACAACTAAATGCACATTATATGGGAGATATGATAGGGATCGAGAAGACTCCCAAAAGGCTCCAATGTTCACATGTCCAGGGTTGTGGAGGTTATTAGATCTTAGAGCACTAACTTCATCAGGCTGTT